ACCTTGACTTTCACTTTACATCTCAACCTTTTATTTGATCATATCAAACAGCTGTCAGAAATAGAACCTTCACATCCTTGCTTCAGAGCGCTGCACAGCTCGCATTTTTTTTGTATTGTTCTTGCCAACAATAGCTTTGATCTCCCACTTTGTTTTCTCCCCTGTTCTAATCCCCATACCTTCTTCCAGGCTGCTCACCATGGATGGAAAGCCCTCCCAGCCCCAGTATGTTAGGCGTCCAAACTACACTCATTCAACTCCCTAACTTCTCACAAAGTCCATTTCAGTCAACCGAAAAATGTCATTTCATCTAGTAGGAAAGTCCACAGGGCTGAATCAAATGGTCTTCAGCCTAGGTACAGCTCTGGAAGCAGAACAAGATCTTTAACATTTTTCTGACTGACCTGGAAGAAAAAACAAAATCATCCTTGATAAAGTTTGTACATGACAAAAAAATTCAGGGAGTGATAAATAATGAAGAGGATAGGTCACGGATTCCAAGAGATCTGAATCGCTTGGTAAACTGGGCACAAACAATATTTGTTTTAATATGGTTAAATGTAAATATATACATCTAGGAATGAGGAATATAGGCCATGCGTACAGGGCAGGGGACTATTCTGGGAAACAATGACTCTGAAAAAGATTTAGGTTTCATGGTGGATAGTTAGAGAACATGAGCTCCCAGTACCATGCTGTGGCCAAAATGGCTAATGCAATCCAGGGATGCATAAACAAGGGAATCTTGAGCAGGAGTAGAGAGGTTATTTTTACCTCTATATTTGACACAGGTCAGACCAATGCTGGATTAGTGTGTCCAGTTCTGGTGCCCACAATTCAAGAAGGAAGTTGATAAATTGGAGAGGGTTCAGAGAAGAGCCACAAGAATGATTAAAGGATTGGAAAACCTGCCTTATCCTGAGATACTCACAGAGCTTAATCTATTTATTTTAACAAAGTGAAAGTTAAGGGGTGACTTGATCACAGTCTATAAGTACCTAGGTGGGGAACGAATATTTACTAATGGGCTCTTCAATCTAGCAGAGAAAGGTCTAATATGTTCCAGTGGCTGGAAGTTGAAGCTAGACAAATTCAGACTGGAAATAAGGGGTAAATTTTTAACAGTGAACCCTGGTCTACACTTGGGGGGCGGGGAGGGGGGGAGGGGAAGAGAGGGAATTGATCTAAGTTACGCAACTTCACCTACGTGAATAACGTAGCTGAAGTCGACGTACTTAGATCGACTTACCGTGGTGAGTCGACTGCTGCCGCTCTCCCGTCGAATCTGCCTGTGCCTCTCACGGTGCTGGAGTACAGGAGTCGACGGGAGAGCGCTTGGGGGTTGATTTATCGCATCTAGACTAGATGTGATAAATCGATCCCCGCTGGATCGATAGCTGCCCGCCGATTCGGCAGGTAGTGTAGACATACCCTGAGAGTAGTTAGCCATTGGAACAATTTACCAAGGGTCATGGTGGATTCTCTATCACTGACAATTTTAAAATCAAGATTGGATGTTTTTCTAAAAGACCTGCTCTAGGAATTACTTTGGGGAAGTTCTCTGGCCTGTGTCAGACGAGGTGATCACAAGGGTCTCTTTTGGCCTTGGAGTCTATGAATCTGACCATCACAGGGCCCCAGCCCCATAAGAGCCTGACAGCCTGAGATAACTTTCAAAGCAAAGGCTGTGCTTCAGTATAACAAAAAATCAGAGCAGTCAAGTGTAAAGCAATGGAGCAACTCACTTAAACTTATCTACTGCAGGGCACATAAAGACTACACCACCAATGAAACTGACCAATGAATCTGAGCCACGATCTAAAACAGGGGTCGGCAATCTTTCAGAAGTGGTGTGCCGAGTCTTCATTTATTCACTCTAATTTAAGGTTTCGCGTGCCAGTAATACATTTTAACGTTTTTAGAAGGTCTCTTTCTAGAAGTCTATAATATAGAACGAAACTATTGTTGTATGGAAAGTAAACAAGGTTTTAAAAATGTTTAAGAAGCTTCATTTAAAATTAAATTAAAATGCAGAGCCCCCCCGGACCGGTGGCCAGGACCCGGGCAGTGTGAGTGCCACTGAAAATCAGCACGCGTGCCATAGGTTGCCTACCCCTGGTCTAAAACTAAGTCATCATGAGGGGGTTGGATTTGTGGACATTCCTATCAGAAGACACGAAATTCTCAAGCTTGGATAATTTTTCCTAGTTTTCTATGTAGGAAGGTCCACAGATCCCAACAACAGAATTTTATCAGCAGTGTCTCCATGGAGAGAAAGAAAAAAATAAAACTATATACAAACAATAATGACATAGTTAATTTCTTTTCACTGGGGTACTACTACTGTATGCCACACTTTTTGCTAAATGTTGCTTTAGCTAATTTACAGACCCAATCTGTAGTGTTTTGCGAAGATGAAGGGGGATGAAAGACCAACTGGCCACTTTGCTTCTCTCCTTGTGCAAGGCATAAGATGTTTCCACCCACAAACCAAACCATCATTGCCCCTTATTCAGTGTGCCCTAATACTTGAGGACAGAATAAAACATGGCTATGCATGCCTCTGACATGCTGCACCTAGATTTGGAAACCTCTGACAGTTTCTTGCCCTTCTCTATCAGGAGAGAAAGATTAGTGCGTTTCAATTCCCCAAACTTGCAGGATGACAGAGTCCTACACACATCTAAGGCATTGCAGCACTTTTCTAACAGGTGCAAAAGCTGCCACCAGGCCAAGAAGTAAGGAAGAAGTTTGGAAATGCTGGCTTCCAAAAGTGAAGTGAAGGGCTCTGCAATGGGATAATCATATTAGGATAGGTGGACACACTGCCTTGAGATAGAGAAGATAAGAAGCCCCCTTTGGAGACAACCTTCTAGGTAGATTTCAACGTCTCCACTTGCAATTTTGGTTTGCTGATGCATTTTTTCAGGAATTTTAGATTCTGAATAGCCTTATCCCTTCTTGAGCCTTTTGGGAACTAAAACAATGGAGTCAGAGCCAGTCCTCTCTCTGATGGAGGGACTCATTCTACTGACCTTATCTACAGGGGGTACTTGATGGTTGCTCTTATGTTGGCTCCTGTTGGTGTTGCTGGAGGTTAGGAGAACCATCAATGTGTGTTTGAGATACTTGATCAGTTCTAACAACTATTCTTCCTCAACAAAGTCAAGGACCCATTTGTCTTATAAGGAGGGAAGACAGTTCTGTGCTGACTGGAGCAGCTTACAGCTAATCTTGCTTTCATGCTGGATTGGTCTGAGTTGGAATCATGCCGATTTCTTGGCATACGCCAAGGCAGAGAAATCATCATTGCATTCCTCCCACCCCACCATGCTGTTGTCCATCTTCTGCTGCTGTATGCACTGACTCGTTGGCTGTATGTAGAAGACAAGGAACCACAAGGAGAGTGACATGCTTTGTAGGAAGCTATGGAATCTTTATTGCTTGGCTGCAGTCTTCTTCCCCTTTTCTGATGAGTCAGCAGGATACAGAAGATGCAGAGGTCCCCATTAACATATTTAATGGTAGGACGTTTTCCAGATGAGTGAATCTTTCCCTCTCTCTTCTTTCTGGGCTTGCTCGGCATGCTTATGCACCTTGCGGAAGCAGCAGGAAGGCCTAGAAAACCCCGTGCTCATCTGAAGAAGCAGAACTAAACCAGGAGGCTCTCTGGTGGGGCCCCACAACTCTGCCTACGACAGACAGTTCTGGCTCTGACCCCAAAGCTGCAAGATGGCTGAAGATCAATTGCTAGGATCTGTGGACTCTCCCTCATAGAAAATATGTTGCCTAACATTATGTAAGGGCAGCAGGTTATGGAACGAGAAAGTTAGGAACGCTGGGGGAGGGGGCATGCAACACTGTAATCTGACATCCCTTCTGGGGATCCCACTATACCTTGTATTATCTCTATCTTGTAGATCATAGGCTTCTCACAGCAGGACTGTGCATCATGTACATCACGGATTAGATCACTGACACTTTGCATGGCTGGATCTTGAGCTATAAGACAAGTATTCTTTTCCCCTGAACTGTGGGGAAAAAAATAAGTACTTTTGCAATAAAATCTTATTTTTCCTTTGACAATATTATTGAAGGGATTGATGCCTAGGTATCTATACTGTACCTACTACTGTTGTATTAAAGTACCTAACACATTATAAAATTGACCATAGGGGCACATAGCCAGTTTACAAATCTATGTCCTCCTTTCTCAGCCAGGACGGGGGAACCGCTGAAATGGGTCTTTTGATGGTGCTAGGCAAGTAAACTTTTTTGGGTGGGGTGGTGGGAGGAAAAATGTGCTCTCTTTAAAGGATATTGACGCATTTATTTGTTGAACACCAGGGTGCTCAGTGATGTACAATACATACAGGAAGATACACTCCCTGCTGCGTAGAGCTTAATTTAAATTAAGATGGTAAGGAATTTGTTTTAATATAGAGAAGGGATCAGAAGAGATGTTAAAACTTTTGCGGGCTGCGAGGGCAGAGCAGATCTATAAGGACTCATCTTAAATTTTTCGAGGGAAATCAAAGCAACTCTGCTTTTAGGTTATCAGCCTGGACAACGGTGCTAAGAAAGCCTACCTTCTAGGTATGGTCATTCTTTGTAAAGCACCTTGAGATTCTTGGATACAAGGTATTGTAGAAAGGCCTAAATGAGACAGCGGGAGTACTACAGACCAAGGCTGGAGAGTTTCCCAATGATTAGCAAGTAAACAAAACTCAGATACAAAGTCCCAGCTGATGGGGCTATACTTGCTCAGAAATGGATATCCCTGTTCATAGTCACAAAAGCCCAACACGTCTGATTTTCCCACATACAATGCTACTTGCCTTCTCCCACTAAGGAGAATGAGAAAGGACTTTCAGGCTCGAGCTTGACAAGTGCTCCAGAAAAAAGTCAGGACCCTAAGCTCAGACTCTAGTTTCCCAAAGTGTTTTAAGATTCAAACTGTTAGGAAGTTTTATTGTATTTTGAAGAGACCAGTTGCATACCTGTCTAAGTGAATTCTTCTCTGGAATGATCTTCCTAGGGGGCTCGTCATTATTACAGTCTTCTCGCTCTGAGGAATTCTGTGAAAGAAAGCAAGCTTTAATTCAGTTCTTATCCCCAATATTATTCCGTGGGAGGAAAGGAAACTGAATCTTTGCAAGCTACACAAGCTAGATTTTATACACACATGAAAAAGCTAGCCTCAGGTGTAAGCCAACTGGCTTGTTAGGACGAAGACAGAATTTTTCTTATTCTTGATCAATAATGCACCATTCGATAGGTATAGTGGAGAAGTTTGTGTTTGTTTAGGACTTTCCTCTAAAACTGCCAGTACTGACCACTGTTGGAGGTAGGATGCCGAGCAGGTGACTTGACAGCCTGATCTACTATACCACCGCTTATGTCCCTGAACTCCCTACAGTGACTCCTTTTCAAAAGATTCTATTTTGTAAAGAGTAAACGTAACTAATAAATTTCAACGGTCCCCCTATAGTCCAGTAGCTTCATATTAGCAGGAATACTGGCTGACTGCACAGGAGTTTAGTGAGTTACCAACATTCAGATCTGTCTGGCCCACCTCTAAATTGTGGTGAACCAGGTCATCAAATTCCATTAGATCAGTGATAGCACCATTCCTGCTATGCCTCTGAGTGTCTTTTTTTTTTTGGCGTGTGCACGCTCTCTCTGTCCAGAAAAGCTGATAGGATCCTGCACTACCACCACCACCACCTATTTGGGACTATAGGGTGTTGAGGAGGAAGGGCGAGCCATAAGAGGCTGCTCCAGAAATGCTCCTCGGCTGATGATGGGCTCAGAAAACTAGTCTGGAGACTTCTGTCTTCTTCACGCTATGGTTTAAGCTACGGATTCCTTGTCTGGGAACAGTGCTATTGTTTATCTAAGGACAGAGGCTTTCCTTGGGACACATTCAGCAAACAATTAACTGGAAAAACAAACAAACATCCTGTCCACATTGGCCAGGGAAGCAATACTAAAACATGGTGGTTGCTATCACAATTTCAACCACCATGTTGATAGGCTAAGGATAGACTGTGTTGTTTGGAGGAATTCTGTACACACAGCTAAAGTCAGTGTTGAACACCACAGTAGTAATAGCCTTTAGGTCACAAACCCCTGCATTCAATACCTCGGAGACTAGTCAGTTTATAAAGGCATAAGGGAAAGTTTTACTAGGGAGAGCTAGGCCAGTAACAGGAAGAGTTTCTGGCTATAGCAGATGGGATCAGGATAGGATTTAAGGTGGAAGTTGCATCCCCTTTATGATCATCACCTCCCAGAATCCTCCTCACATATCCAGATCCCCCTTAGAGCTAGCTCCCAACCCCAAATTTCAGTCACTGGCTGGAGCATCTGTCAGTCAAGGAAGAGCTGGTACACCACAAGCAGTGTGGTCAAGTGGGGACTGTAGAGAGGAAGCAGATTGCAGGAAGCCATCAGTGGAGCAGTGTGTTTGGGTGCCTGCAGCAGGTGCTGTGTGATCAGCAAGGGTCTAGGTAGGTTACAGTTTCTAGTTTCATTGAAGGAGAAGAGAGCGGGAAGATGGCAAGGACATGAGCAAAGTTTGCTGAGAGATGGAAGAGAAGGAAAAAAAACCCTCAAGGTAAACTGGTCCTGAGGATTCTGAGTAAATCAAGATCTGCAGACAAACTAATGAGCTTTACAAGACACAGAACTCAGGAGGCACAATGAGGTCTGAGCAGCTGTAGTCAGGGTTTTATAATGTAAATCAATCCTAAACAGGCCTGATAACTCGGTAAAACAACCCAAATCTTTGAGAAGTTTCACACAGGGCCTCAGCTAGGAGAAAGTTATTTGTTAAGCCTGGTTTAGAGAGGGCTGTGAATGCCCAGGTTAAAACTGTACAAATGTGAAAAGGAAATTAAGATGCATCTTTGCACAAACTGCTCTGTACTCATCTGCACAGTTTAATAACACAAGTAGGGATTTCAATTTTGGTACTTCTGAAAACAGATTAATTGCTAGAGATACAGGATTCTGAAGTAATTCCAGGAACTGGTTTTCTTATCTATTTTAAAGATGCATTTTGAATATTCAATCCCCCTTCCCACAATAGCTTCAAAAATCCTATTTTTCCTCAAGTTGTGTGTTTTAGAAAATGGTTATTAAAAGTGAAATCTCATCTTCCCCATGCCTCTCAAACTGCCTTTCAATGTCATTGAGGTTAAAACAATGTCAAAAGCCAGGCAATTCAATGCAGAGGTGAAAAAACAGCCTTTAGCCTGAAATTTCTTGTTATCACAACGTGTCACAAGTTTTCCAGTTTCTTTTTCTTTAAACTAAAGATCTAATTTTAAAAGCGAGCAGAAGACCTTTTTGCATTCATTATCTTTATAGGTGGCAAGGCTACGAGGTTGGCTGAACAAAGACCAGACAAAGACTGCCAAGTGCATATGGTGGTTCACAGCTTGGCGTCTCACCATTCTACAGTACCCACACAGCAGCTCCAATAGCAGACTATTAAAGAGGAGCGCTGCTCATGCACTTTTGTCGGCAAGTAAGTTACGCTTGGTGAAGACAGAATGACTGGAAAGCATTACACTTAAGAAACAAAGCACAGATGTTTCCAACTCCCGCTTATTTCTCAGGAATAGGAAAAATCACCATTCCAGGTGTACTACAAGCCTCCAAATAGTTCAGAAAGAGTCATACCTGCATTCAAATGAATTCCACTTGATAGACCAATGCCCAGTATTGGTCACCATTCAGCTTTCCAGTGGTAAAGTTAGACTATTATAACAGTGACCAGAAAGCTACATCCGTACGTGTGTCTCATTGCTGAACAATGCAAGGGAAGTCTGCTCCCCTGTTTGAGGACCAGAATTTTAAGTTTGCTACAGCATGACGAGCGATGCTTCCAGCCACGAGGGAGGATGACAAAAGGCTATCAAAAAGGTGTTTTGCAATCATAGCTCTAGAATGTGGCATTTGATGCTCATATATTAAGATGGTGCATGCATCAGAAATGTCAAAGGTTTGCAGGAACTGCAACTGATTTGTAGCAAAGAGAAGATGGAATCTGCTACGGCGAAGGGGTGGGGACAGAATCAGCAGACCGAAAGGCAGGTCACCGCTGAAAACCCAAACAACTTCTTGAATTGGGGCAAATTCCGAAATCCCATTTCCTCTAAGTGTCAGTGCCTTTCTTGGCTACCATCCTTACCAAAACCAGATAGGGCAAGAGAGTGCTTGTGCTGGAATACATGGAGCATCTTCTACAAAGTAGGACTAGCCTGCGTTTTTGCATCGTTCATTGTGCAAGTCCCACAAAGCATTAAGTGGTTAAGTTTCCCATCCCCCTCACCCCTGAGATTATCACCTCTATTTGCACAGATCGAGAAGATAGAGACCACAGGTTTTACACAAGGTCACACAGAATGTCGGTGGCAATGCTGGGAATCGAAACTGGGAATCCTGATTCCCAAACCTCTGCTTTAGTTGTTAGCCCTCCTCTCTAGCCTTCTCCTCTGAGGCCCACATGAAGGGTATTTGCCTTTCATAGTTTATCTGCCCTAAAATGGTAACTGTCTATTACAAGAGACCCTTTCCAAATACAATTTAGATTTAAGACTTCAGCCTGTAACTAACAGGATATAATTCCACAGCATGTTATCATCCCAATAACCACCACAAACTCGTTTCATTATTTGACTCTCCACATGAAGTCCCCACTATCTCAAACACGCCCTGTGTTATACGGCACACAGTCCGAAGGCTAAAGCGTCTGACGTGTGATGACATGCAGTATTTTCTGTATATAACCCATGAAAGCAATACTGGGATTCAGCTGTAATAGATGGATGAATGCACTCGGGCTACCAACTGCACAGGGCTACCTTTAGTACTGCCTTAATCCTCATGGTGGAAATCAGGAACCTGCCAACTGGGCAGTTGTTTTGATGCTGTGTTGCCCAACACTAATTATAAAACAGTACAGATGCAGTCTTCTTCCACATGTGGGGAGGTGGGGCTGGGGGAGAACTGTGTGTCTATGTAAAGAGCACAACTATTTTTTATGCTTTCAAATTCTTAATCCTGTTTGGAGCTGTCAGTGGGGGTTAATGGAAGCCTTGGATAGGAGAATTCCAATCTGGTTGGCAGATGGATAGGTTGGTTATAGCTGCATAACTATGTCTTGCCTGCAGGCACAATTCAGAACACTGTTAAAGCAATATAAAGTCTCTGTCAAGCTGAACCATTTGGATCAGTAGCAAGGAGAAATAATAATAAAAAAAAGGAGTTCATTTCTGGGCCTTGCACGTTTATGCTAGTATGCAGAAACTGATTAATTGTCATCGTGTGCTGGTCTGCTATACCTCAGATTTCTACTTCTGGAGTAGATTTTGCATGCTAATGTAATCATTCTCCCTCTTGAGACATTAGCCTGAGTCGGAGA